ATTCTAATCCCTGGTGTACATCATTGATAATTGCTAGGATTGTAGAAAAGAATAAATGAGTAGCCAAGATTCTTAAAAAAAAAAAAAAAAAAAAACTTGCCTTGTTTAGGTTCGTATCCTCTTTAACTCGAGTTATTAAGCTCGTAGGGGTGTCTCTACACCTAGTGCCCTAAAACTATTTGGGTTGGGAGTCACTGGCCCAATACTTGCTACATGGGTTAATTAGAAAGCTTAAGGGACCTAAACATTCCACAGTTAAGGAAAAGTAAGGAGAATGATTTGTTCGGATTCGTAGCCTTTTCAACTTGAGTTATTAAACCCGTAAGGGCGTCTTTACACCTAGTTCCCTAAAACCTTCTGGTTTGAGAGTCATTGGCCCAATGTTTGTTACATGGGTTGATTAGAAAGCTTAATGGATCAAGACATTGCACAGTCATTCCAAAAAAAAAAAGAAAAAACAAAGCAAAACAAATTTTTTTTTTTTTCTGATAATCTTGGTTGTAGTAGTTTAGTTTTTCTATATATGCTGGGTGTTATTATGAGTTACATTGGGCTATTATAGTAGACAGTTAACTAGTATGGGGATTGCATTTTACACTGAGACTTTACTTGTCCACTTGGGATAACTTGGTGGTTTAAAGACTTGTTGCATATGCTAAACGCAACTGGTTTCCCACGAAAGAGGAATTAGCTAGATTTTGTTTAATTTTATTTTATTTTATTTTATTTTTATTGCTTGCTTGACGACGAGCAAGTTGTAAGTTGGGGGATGTGATTAAGGCCGAATTGTGCAACATTGAGGCTGTTAATTAAGATCTCTTAACTTTACTTGCTTGTCAAACTATATATTTTATGTCTGTTTAATGTCAATCAAGTTGTACATAGTCGGAGCATAAAATGGGCAAAAAATACAGAATTTGGAGACAAAAGAGTTTCCTGCACGTGCGGTCATACCTCAGAAAATGGGCTCGATGTTTTGAACCTGTTTGAAAGACATCAAAGGTATAAAAAGGCAAGAAAGAGGCTGGATTAGGGTTCGAAATTTATTTTGAAGGAAAGGGAGGCTAGGGTTTAGAGAAGGTGATTTTCCCTCAAGCTTCAAGGACAACTTCCATGGGGGCTTCCATCTCTTCTACCTCTTCCCACTCCTCCATGAGTGGCTAGACTCTTCTTTTCTAGGGTTTTGATGAAATCCTAGCCGCGTAAAAGGGATTTTTCTTAGGTTTTAATTGTGAAACGGTTTGAATACATGTATGGATGTTTTAGAAGTTTATAATAATTGTTCTTTTCATCTCTTCAAGTATTTTACTCGCTATGATTATTTAATGCTTTCTATACATTAGTTTTCTTTGTGTTTGTATCCAATGTACGAGACGGGTCATGCTACGAGAGACAGGTCGTGTTGCTAACGCAGTTTAGAGAAAACACCTCGTGCTACTCGGGATGATTCATGCCTGTAAGTTGAATACAACAACCCTCTTGATCAATATTTCAAACTTGTAGTTGTGAAATATTGGGTATTTCAAACCGGATTGCAATTATTGGCTGATGTTTAATCTCATTTATATAGTTAGTAGTGAATTCTTTGCCCTGGGATTTTTCCCAATAATCAATCTCTCAAACCCTATGTTTAATTGTCAATTTAATTTCTTAATTTCATTTAATTCCTGTTTAGTCATAAAATCTCTTAATCTTTTTAATCAAAATTAATTTAGGAATTTAGTAATTAAATTAGTCCAATTTCACAATTGTCCTTGTGGATCGATACTTGGAGTTGCCATTATTTTAAAAGAATTTGGTATAGTTTAGTATTTACATCTTGGTACCGGTAATGTTGTGTAAGACCATCCAAGGTGTTTATCATTAAAAAAATCATATCAATTATTAATTATTATAATATATATATATTAATATATCTAAACAGTACAGCCACTTGTTAACGCCCTCCTCAAAAATATACCCATTTATATATCATTGACATGTCATTATTTAAGAGAGAGAAACACTTTAATAATTCATCTATAATATCCATCAGAGTTCTTATTAAACAAACAGATTACTATTAACATCAAAGGTAAATGCCTACCGGCTTAATCTTTCCAACTAACACTTGGACACAAAGATATGTAGTTCCTAACCTTCAAATAAAAAATAAAGCCCTAGCTGATGTTTACATTACACAAATGAAACAACAAATAACTAAAATAGTCTTCAAAATTTCAAGGTTCCTTCCTAAGGCTAAGGTCCTTGGAGGTAGCTTAATCACCTGAACCTGAAATGAAAAAATGATTCCCATAAAGGACTGTGAGCCACAGCCCAGTTAAGAAAATATACTAAACCACATATAAGCAATGAAATAAAGCAATAGTATTCAACAGATGGTTTAACCAAGATAATCAATTACTTCATTTTACGTCTCCATGACCACTATTGGGTCTAAGACACGTTTACCTTCCATTTATAACATGGCTCAGAAACCTGGGGCCAAACTTACAACAATGAATATATATATCATACATATTCACATCCATTCAATATTAACAACAAATGAGACCTCAAGGCTCAAACCCCAAATACACTCATTACTTCCAGATTTGTACACCCTTTTTAGTGCTGTATTCCCATAAACACTCTATATAAATGAAGCAACATAAAGGATGCTAAATGGAGTCCATCCCCTATCTCCTCCCCAAACAAAATCCGGGGTTTAGAGTTCCATTCCCCTATCTTCCCAAACCGTGGATAATCCCCTATATCTTCCTCCCACACAAAAACAATGTATGCAATCCAATGCTCAATCAATACATTGTCATTTCTGTATTCAATGCAATAGTCAAAATTAATGACCTTAACCAAGTGTATTAGTTTTCCAGTTATTCCTAATTCCACATGCAATGTCTACAACATCACGATTATCCCACCCGAATAGGCCCAAAACAGTTGATTCTAGACTTTGGAAATAACATATATTAACAATCAATGGCGCGACGTGTTACATTATGCCAACTACACCATTTAATCCAAAATTCGCCCAATTTCATGAATTTAACCAAAATTCCCCCCAATTCCCTTAAATTTAATTATACCAAATATAATTAATAATACAACTTAGGGTTTTATCCCAAAATTTACCCAAAGTACCCCCCAACATATCAAAATACTAAAACTTAGAACAAAACTTATAAGATGGAGTAGGAAATCCCTACCTCGAAGAAATAGCCTCAAAAGAGAAGATGGAGATGAAAGCCCAAACTCCAAAGTGCTCCAAACTACCAACAATTCAGATTAAAAGAAAGCCCTCGACCCACTCTATCTTTTTAACAAAGGATCTAAGGTAGAAACTCACTCTAAGTAGATCAATCCTAAGAGAGAAGGTGTGTAAAGGGAGAGAGAACTCGTACCTAGGGTTTTGGAATCTGAAAGGGAATGAAAAACTGATCTGAAACACATTGCTGCCTATTTAAACCTAACAGGCTCGCTCGAGCGAATACTTGGTCGCTCGAGCGACCAGACACAGAAAAACTACGCTCGAGCCAAGGAAACCTTGCTCGAGCCAATAACCCAAAAGCTCGCTCGAGCGAAGAACTCAAACCCTCAGGTCTGAAGCCAGACTCACGCTCGAGCGAAGGAACTATTGCTCGAGCGAAGAACGAACTAACTCGCTCGAGCGAAAAAATTCTCGCTCGAGCCAAGAATGCAAAGCTACAGGTCCAAACCAAACGCACAACACTCGCTCAAGCTACCAAACCCTAGCTCGAGCGAAGAACCAAAACACCATCTCGCTCGAGCGACAAACTCCTCGCTCGAGCGAAGATCCAAAATTCTAGACAGCAACACTTGGTTTCTAAACCCTACCAACCTGAAACAAACCTGCCCAAACACATCCTATAATTCCAAATGAGAAAATAAGGGACAACAACAACAATTATACAATGACTGAATCTACGGAACCTAAGTCCGGATACAATAATCAAATGGGAAAAAAACCGGGGTCGCTATAGTTCACAGTTATAATCATAATTATAAAACTATAGATCAAACCGTAAAATACAATTTAACTATTTTAAGAATCAAGACCAAACCATACATTGATAAAATCAAACCAAACAGTGTACTTTGGTTTGAATCAAACCGTTTTTATTCAGTCCTATAAAAAATTTATACATATATATATATATATATATAATTTCTATCACAAAATATATAATTATCATAATTTTAAATATGCATACCATAATTTCTTGAGTCATAACTTTTATTATAAAAATGCATAACTTGATATACACCTTTATAGGGTCCACATTATTTTATAAAGATCAAGAATTTGTGGAGTAACTATCAAACTAACATACCTCTCTGCCACCTACCATGGAAGACACTCAAAGAAATGAAAACAATTCACTCATCACAGAGAAAGAAACTAAGCATGAGCTAGACAACGATTGCCATGATGATGATCTACTTATTGCACCACTTCCCAAAGTAAAGGGATGGCTAGGTTTTGAAGATTTCTATCATCATTACGAAGGTTTTTGGTGCCCGAACGACCTTATTTGAGAAGTAATGTCAGTCCAACAACACTTCAAAGCTCAAGACATAGACCTCATACCCATCACCATGCTCAAATCAAGCACCACCTTGTTGAAGGCCTTGGACTTCACCATCGCCAGCCACCATGACTACCCTAACACACTTTCTCAACACCCTTTGCTCGCTTCCAACCCTCACAAGCTTGTCCCTTTTCTCGAGCTCAATTCTAATAAAGAAGGCTGTCATATTCGCCGTCTTTCCATTGTCTCCAACTTTCAATCCCCTATGCCTAATATTTTTTCCACCCACATCCCCTATCATTCATTGCCCGACTCAATTAAGAACTCTGGTTGTCGCGTTGTCTATCTCTGTCGCAGTCCCTATGATGCCTTTGTCTCCACTTGGCACTTTGTGAATAAGGCTAGAGTCGAGAGCCGAGAGAGCCGAGAGCCGAGGGCCTTTATCATGCGATGATGTTTTCGAGATGTTTTGTAGAGGTAATCGATTTTGGGACCTTCTGGGATCATGCATTGGAGTACTGGAAGGAGAGCTTAGAAAGGCCTCACAAGGTGTTGTTTTTTATGTATGAGGACCTAAAAGAAGATATTACCCTTCAAATAAAGAGGGTAGCTGAGTTTATGGGTGTTCCATTCTCATTGGAAGAAGAAAGAAAAGGTGTAATAGAAGAGATATCCAAGTTGTGTAGCTTTAATAATTTGAGAGAGTTTGAGGTGAACAAATCTGGTTCACTTCTACAATTTGAGAATAAGACGTTTTTCAGGAGAGGTGATGTGGGTGATTGGGTCAATCATTTGACACCTGAGATAGTCCAACGTTTAAACAAGATTATGGAAGAAAAGTTGGATAATTCTGGGTTGGCATTTAAAACTAGTTTGTGAAAAATGATCATTGTCATTTCATCGGTTTGAATTACTAGAAGTAATAGTCTTGGAATTATAAGTCCCTTACGATTATATATTCTATGTCACGTTTGAAATGTCTTTGGATTAGAAGGAAGATTGATAAAATCTTATCTTCATGTTTGTTTGAAAATATTATTAGTGGACTATATGGTGTAATATAATGATCACAGTTTGAGGATATTTTTGTGCTTTAACCCCTAATCTAGACCTCCTTACTCCTCCCATTTTGCAACCTACCCCTCTTATGAGACTTAATAGTATTTTGTCAATCTAGAGGTCCACTTTAATATATAAACAAGAAATTCAAGATTGAACAAGATACACAATCCAATTTTATGCATTAATCCCTCCAAACAAACACAACCAATATGTGATGAGGATGAATGAATTTCTTACATGTTTAAAAACTTAATCGTTCAAAAAGTTTACTAACTTTAATCTAAAAATTGAACCCAGTGTGCACTAGCTAGGATGACTAAACTACTATACATGTTGCCACCAAAGGCCTCAACCTAAGCCCAACATATTCACATAGTTAACGAGTAAAAATTTAGATGTTTCTAGAATTGTTGCATAGTTAAATCACATATCAAGAATGCACAGGACAAAATTCTCTAGAAATACTCATTATTTTTATTAGAGGTTGGTCTTACCCTACTGATACATGTATTTTAAATATTTTTTTATAATTTAATTTTGTATATATAGTATCATTCAAAAGCAAGGAATTCTACTTATAACTCTGAACTAGAAGTATAAATTTTGTATATATAGTATCATAGAAAGAAATGGTTGACACGCATATCATTCAAACACCATAATCTAAATCCAAAGGTTGTTGAAATGGCATCTAAATTCAATGAGAAATGAAAACTTGACAACTATATGGTGGACCAATCTAGCATTAGGTCTGACAATTTTGTTTGCAAGCATCGTATATATATGCCAATATATATGCCAAGTGTACTGAAATGCAGAGACCTTATTTTGGAGTGTTTGGAGTTTTGCTTCTCTCTTCTTTTTTTTTTTTTTTTTTTTTTTTTTTTTTTTTTGTGTTAGTTTATTTTTATTTTAGTGAACATTTAAAAAAAATTGAAAAAATTTTAGCCATCGAAATTCTACTTGACGAGATGAATCAAAAAAAAAATTAAAAATTATTTTTTTTAAAAATCCAAAATGACAAAATAAGCAAAAAATAATAAACTTTTATGGGTATTTTTTGAATTTTTTAAAAAAATTTATATTGTTTAAATTCGTCTATACAAGAGATCAAAAAAATAAAAATTAATATAATTTTAAAAATTTCATAAAAATGTGATTTATTTGAAAGTTGCCAATCACTTCGAAAATATCATAAATAAGTTATCCTCAATCCTTCCCATAAAGTGCTCAATAATTAATTCCACTGCTTCCTAGTTTCTAGCTTTTATAGCATGAAAGTATGTCAGCATCAATGGCTAAGATTAGTGGTCCACACAAAAAGACAACCAATTACAAAAAAGAGAAAATCTCACTTCAGGCTACTTTTGAAAAGTAATAACAAAAATGTAGTAAATTTTATAAATATTGATAAATTGAAAACAAAAACTTTATCATGAATCAGTAATAAATTTTTAAAACCGATTGATAATTTCCCTTAATAAAAAAAGCTAGGTAAATTTCATTATTAAACCGTTCAATTTCTAAAAGGAATGAGCATGAAGCCCCAAAATTTGTTGCAGGTGCATTTTGATTGATCATTTGCCCTGACTGAGGGTTGTTATGCCTCAATTTGAGGGTTATTATGGACTTATTTTTATGATCCAAATCGTTTATTTTGTAGGGTTCGTTAGGTACTTCATGCCTACCCAAAATAATATTAATAAGATATCAATAACTATATGATCGAATTAGATTTATCATAAAAAAAAAATAAACAATATGTTTTTCTTTTGAAAAATAGTATAAAAAATATGCAATCTGATCACATAGTTATTGATATCTGATGAATATAATGTTTGGTAGGCATGAAGCACTCAACGAACCCTACAAAATGAATAGTTCGGATCATAAAAATAAACCCATAATAAACCTCAAATTGAGGTACAACAGTTACTGCTGTGCTAAAGGCCCAATAACCCCCATCCCGCCATTTCATTGGTTCAATAGGCCTGAATAAAAACAGAACTACTCTCAATCTATGAACCATCATCTGATCTCATAAACGGGCAGCAATCAAAAAAAGGTAATACATATGTAAGAACTGTAAAACAAACTCAGTAAGTCAAAAATCATTAAAAGTTTATTTGAAATCAGTTTATTAGGTAAATAAATTAAGTTTGAATATATTTTAAAATTCATTAAGTTTTTAGATTGAATTTGAACAACTAGCTATTTGACTCAACCTAATTGTATGTATTTACTATGAAAAATCAAGCTACTTAAGCTATACTCATGTTTCGATCAATTGAAACTTGTTTGAGATCAGCTTGAAATGCAAACAAATTAAGTTTGAGCATATTTTAAAATTTATTAAATTTTCAAATCAAATTTAAATAACTTGCCATTAAAATTGACTCAACTCATCACACTTTGTTTGGATAGAGTGATAGAAAAGATGAAAAAAAAAAAAAAAAAAAGAGAGAGAGAGAAAAATTAAAAGAGCTTGGTAATAATTTTCTTAATCTGTGTTTGGTTGAAAGATTTGATGAGAAAAATAAAAAGAAAAAATAATAATAATTTAGAAAATAAAAATGTAAAATTAACCCAATATGATAAGAAAAATGATATATAAACTCAGTCTATAGATCTATTTTTTATATATTATGATATATCAATAAGATAATTAATTAACATTTAGAAAATAAATTTTAATTAAAACAAAGAGAATTGACTTTCCCATGAAAGTCCTCAATAATTACACAGCCTTACCACACATTGCCAGCATCAGTATTATCATCAAGTGGTCTACCATAAAAGGCAATGTCAAAAAAGCAAAAGCAAAAGCAAAAGTAAAAGCAAAAATATGATTGGTGTGACTAATTATGGGAAATATTTGAGACATTTTTTCATAAATTTTTTTTCACCTACTTATATTTTATTTAGTTTAGATTATTTTTTTATGTTCCAATAAGTCTTATGGGTGACATAGTTACTAAAATACCCCTAATAATATTCACATTTACAGTGTGAATGTTCCGTAATGTGAATGTTTATACCGTCAATGTGAATATTAATATGTCAATATGAATATTCACACTGTCAATGTGAATATTCACATTATAAAATATAAATGTTCACATCACCAAATTGCTAACTGTTCAAAAAATATTTGTAAGGGTATAAATGTCTACAAAATACCATAAATATGAGTATTAGGATTTGGTAGATCAAATGACCAAATAATAGGACTTATTAGAATATAAGAATAACTTATGGATTAATTGGAATACAAATACTTGAAAAAAGATTTTCTAATAAATTTCTCAAAATTTTATAATGCATCTTAGTTATGATATTTGTGATATTTGATTATAATTTGTTATAACATTAGTTTTATTTTGATTATAACTTATTATGATATTAATTATGACTCATTATAATATTAATTATGATATATTATGATTATTATTTTTGTTATAATAAAAAAAATAATTATACTAAAGTTTGGAAACTAGTTAGAATAGACACTATCAAAAAATTATCAAAAAATCAATTCTTCTCTCTACTTTTTTACAAATTTTTTCATAAAAAGTCAAAAGTAAACTAAAATAATTAATTTCCAAAACAATAGTAGTATTTGGTTATGAGCCAACCCCATTTGATGGGACTTAAGGTTTGATTTGGTTTGGCTTGATTTGGTTTTTTAGTGTTTGGTTATGACTTTGTTATGATGGAAAGATCTATTGGAATTATTATTGTGTATACTAAAATAATCCAAATAGATTGCATTCTCGCAAGTTTAATTTGAATAGTTATATTTGACCTTTTATTTTGATAATTCAAAATTTTATTTTATAAAATCATCCGTATATACTATTTATAAAATAAAAAAAATTAAATCAATATAATAATACTTTTATCTTTAAAAAAAGAGAGCTTTGTTAGTAAATCTCATTTCTAAGAGTTCTATTCCATCTAATGCAAAATATTTTTGAATATTCCATTAGGTCCTAATTGATGTAATAAGACCAAATAGTCACAAGCCCTCACATACGTATTTCCATTCCTAAAATCAAACCCCATCAAAACACTCCACTTTCATCATTTCATATTTCACGTAGAAAATCTCGTCTTCCCAAAACCCTCATTGTCATCTCTTCCAGATCCTAGGGTTAGTCATCTCTTCTAAACCCTATGTTTCACATCGTGCCTTCTACCATCCTATCGCCATTCCACTATCACCGAGTCATTGTCGGCAACTGGAAACGTAGGCCAAAATGGCGATTCACTGCTGCAGAATTTTACATCAATTCGATCTCATCGACATCCCATTATCTAACCGTCGTTCGTTCATTGCCAACGATTTGAAGACATAACTCTGTGAAAGTTCACATTGGTCGATGTGTATAATCGACCAAAATGAGGAACGAATGTAAGCACCAATCATTTCCCCTTCTTTTTTATTCAATCTGAATTCCAAAACAACTATTTGATAAATGTCGTTGTTGTGTTCCTCCTTTTATGTTTGATTACAATGAACTGATGTGAACATTTACATCGTGTGGTCATCATTCTTGTTAATTAGTTGTAATAAGATATTATTTTGTAATATTGTAGTTATTTTTTCTCCTTCTGTGACTGTTGGCCTTGTTGGTGTTATTGATTGTTAACGGTGGCATGAAATACAGTCCATATGAATATTCACACTATCCTTCCCCCTTCTTTTTGGTTCAATGTGAATTCCAAAACAACTATTTGATATTATGGTTATTGTGTTTCCTCTTTACATTTGATTGTAATGAACCAATGTGAACATTTGTATTATGTGGCTATCA